ATTGCCTGAACCCAGGAGGCGGAGGTTGCGGTGAGCCGAGATCGCGCCATTGCACTCCAGCCTGGATAACAAGAGCGAAACTCCATCTCAAAAAAAAAAATAAAATAAAAAAAAATAAAATAAAATAAAATAAACAAAAGAGAAAAAAAAAACAACTTAGAAAGTAATTCTGTTTTCACAAAGAGCCAAGCTTGTCAACCACATTTTACCACTGAAGACATCCAAGGCCAGGATTTGCACAGAGGAGGCACTTGGCATTTTTGTTTGTTTGTTGAATTCAATTTGTGTGTGCATTTTTATTAATTTGCTGTATTTATTTGTTAGTGTTCTTATTTTGAGACAGAGTCCCAGGCTGTCACTTATTCTGGAACATAGTGGCATAGTCTTGGCTCCCTACAACCTCTGCCTCCTGGGCTCAAGCAATTTTCTTGCCTCAGCCTCCTGAGTAGCTGGGACTACAGATGTGAGCCACCGCACCTGGCTAATTTTTGTATTTTTAGTAGAGACAGGGTTTCACCATGTTGGCCAGGCTGGTCTCAAACTCCTGATCTCAAGTGATTTACCGCCTCAGCCTCCCAAAGTGCTGGGATTACAGGCCTGATTTCTTTATTTTTTTAGAGATGGGGTCTCACCATGCTGCCTAAGCTGGTCTTGAACTCCTGGGCTCAAGTGATCCTGTGCCTCCACCTCCTGAGTAGCTGGGGTGATAGGCATGTGTCAAAACTATTTTGTGTCCTTTTAGATGTAGAATGTTTACTGATGCAAAAATATTATTCAATTAAAAACTGCCAGATAAACCCGCTTTCAAAGGCATGCTGGAACTCTAGACCTAAGCACACACCAGACATATGCATCTTCAATGCCTCGATGGCAAATTACCCCAGAGCTTTGGTACTCCTGCACAAAGAACAAGAACAACCTTGATGTGACAAAAATTGACACTTCCAAAGGGTAAAAAAGGAAGAAATCACTGTTTCCATTTGAAATAGATACCCTTTCCATGCATGCCTTTCTTCAGACTGGGTTGAACACCTGGGCCGATATGTGGCGTGACATAGCTGAGGGACACAAGGCTGCTCCATGAACGAGGCTGTCAAGCTGGGGGAAAGAGTATTGTCACTGAACACAAGAACCTGCCGCATCCTGCCTCCTGCGAGAGATAGCCCTGTATCCTTCCCCTCCCTGCGTGCACACACTCCACAATACGACTTCACAGCGTTCCCCATCCAGAGGAGGACCGCATCTTTATTCTGAGAATCCAGGCTTTAGCCAACAGAATGCCACAGAAGTGAAGATGTGATGGCTCTAAACCTAGCTGTTGGTACCCTGCCTGGTCACCATGTGATGAAACCTGGCCTGGCTTCCTGGAGGGATGTCAGAACCCACAGGAAGCTGAGATGAGCCATTCCACCTAAGGCCCCAGATACATTAAGAAGACCCAGGAAACATCATCAAAGCGCTGGCCACACCTACAGCTGACTGCAGACAAGAGAGGGCGTTCAGAAGAGACCAGAAGGGGCACTAGACTGGTTTTAGCCCAGATTGCTGGCTCATCTAATCATAAACATTTCCCGCCACTGCGTGTTGGGTCTTTTGTAGCATAGCATGACTGACTGATACACGCCTTTTCCTCTTTGCCGTCTCTTACAAATCGATCAAGTACAATCACTTGTCATTACCAAGTGGTCATCCAAGCTGACCGCTTCTCTTCGCCTCCCTTGCCTGGGCTTTAATTCAGCCTGTTGTCATTTCCAGGGAGTACTGAATTGGTCTGAAAGGGGGTCTCCCTGGGCCTTAGTGAGCCTCCTCAGGTCCATTCTTCACCCACACATCAACAGGGGCAGACTCTTTCCCATGAAGCTTCTATGAAGTGCAGAATCCACTTCTGCTAACCCGGTCATCTTCCCCAGTCACCATGGCGTCCTTCCCCGGTTCCCGTTGCATTCCACACCCTGGCTACACAATTTCTGGTGTTCCCAAGTGTGTATCCAGCTCTACCTAGCACACTATCTTCCCTGGCACCTCACTCTGCTCCTGGGCACCTCCCACCCATATTTTGGGCATTGGCTTGGATATTGTTCTGTCCAGGAAGCCCTACCTCCGTCACCTAACCCAGTCTAGGAGTAACCCTTCCGCCTTGCTACAGGATCCCATATGTTCCAGAAAATTATTCATCAGACTTGACTGCAATCACTTGTTCATTCGCCTTGCCCTTTCCATCTCTGGACCTCACTTTACACCACAGAGGGAAAAAGGAGAATCAATAAATTTTTCTAAGGATGCCAGCATACCCCAAAAATATTGATACTGGTACTCTGCATTGAAATGGAGAGGTCACCTTCAATCACTTTCTCCTCCCCCATAACTGAAAACTCACAAGAGCCTTGGGGTTGAGTGCGTTTACTCTCAACTCAGCTTAAACTCAAGCAGATGTCAGCCCAAATCTCTAAGAGCCGGACTCAGGGAATGAGGAGCCTGTTCTCCCAGCCGCACAGGACACAAAGTCAGCCTCTGCACTTAAAGTCCTCCCTCCTCTGACCTGCGGCGGGGCTGACAGTGCACTCTGAGGACTTCTTTGGGCAGAGTTCATAACTTCCTTTCTCCTGTCATTCTTGGGTTTCAAGTTAGCGCTGGTGAAAGAAAGGGGAGTCATGGGAGAAATCACAGTCTTGCTCTGAGAGCAAAGAGGCATCTTCCGCAGTGAAAAACCAATGCTTGCGCCTCCTTTGTCTGAACTCAGATCGGTCGTTTGGAGCCTCTGGACAAAAATGGTCAGACACTTTTGTTCAGACGCTGCTTTACATACATAGAAAGTGTGAGTGCTCCATGGAAGCAGTGGGATTGGGAGGCATTGATTTAGGAGTCTGTGCACTTCTTAAAGGTTGGGACCAGGTGAGTCAATCAGTTACCTTCTAGGGAGTCATGCCCCACGTGGTAGTCTCCACCTGTAAACAGAAAAGGACACTCGTGTTTATTCAGCAGAGCTTATGGAGTGCCTGCTATTGCTAGGCACTGTTGAGGATGCGACTATGACAGCACACAGATCCCTGTTTTCAGGGAATTTACAGTCTTGTCGGGGGAGGGGGACAGCCAAGCAGCATGAGGCGGAGGAATGTGAATGTGCATGCCATGCCTAATAGTCATTAGTGGAATGGAGATGATACCAGGGAGAGGGACGTGCAGCTTTCATTTCAGAGCTGGGGAGTCTACGTACACGCATATGCAAAACACATGCGGGCAGACAACCTCATGGACACACATGCACACACACATGCCATTCATACACACATATGCACGTGCAACACACACTGACATGCACAAATGTGTGTGCACATGCATACACACATGTAGCATGTAACAACCTTGTGCAACAAAAGGCAGGCAAGCACACATATACATGTGCATACACACACATGCATCTACACACGTGTGCAACACATAAAAGCAAATGCAACACAGAAGCACACGTGCGTTCAATGCACACATTCACACACATGCACATGCCCACACATACGCACAAACACACATATGCATACACACACACAGGCAACACAAGCACATATAAAGCACAATTTACCTAAACACACGTGTACACATTGTGTGCATATGCACATCCCTATGTGTGCACCTGTATGCAGAAACACATAAACACATGCATGCACACACAAATATGCACACACACATAAACACATCCATGTGTATGTGCATACCTGGACATATGCATGTATATGTACAGTCCACATGCACAGATGCATATGATATATTCATGCAGTACCCACGTGCACATGTGGTAGCACACATCCAGATGCATACGTGTGCTTGCACATCCCTAAATGTATGCATGTGAATGGACACACATGGGAAACATGCAATACATATGCGACCCAAGCACAAATATGTACATATGCAAACTCCACTTACACAAACATGCATGCACTCAATCTGCGTGTGTGCACAGACACTTCCACACGTGCACTTGTTATCCACATGCATTTATGTACATGATTACAAAATCCCCATGCACACGTGTACGTTCATGCATACACAATACACACACATACCTGTGTGCAAACACACATGCATACATACACACACGTGCACATGCATGCACCCAATAACACCTGGAAGTGGGCCATGGTTCCTTTCAAGAAACTAAGTCTTCATGGCATGCGCATCTCCCCCAGCAGGGATGCCAAAGGAAAATGCAAGTTAGAGACCCGGATGGCCAGTTGGCTGTTGTGCACTGGATAAAAGCACCAGCTTCCCATCAGCACCCAGACAGTGTATTAGTTATTCACAATGGACAGTTTTGCCTCACACATTCTGTAAGACATAAGTCCTTTACCATCAGTATTTCCATAAAGAGAGTTGAGTCTACAGCTCACTCTTTCTTCAGGATAGAAAAGAGACCATGAAATACAAGATATTGCCGGAAAGTCTACATGATCTCACAGAAGCAAACAGGTCAGCAAACCTGAGCAAGATGCTTTGAAAGGCTCTCCCAGGGCCAGGGGAGGAGGACAGGTGTCGTCTCACCCCTGCTTACTGTTCACGAGGTGAACAGTAGATGTACATTTGCTGAAGGTGCATTAGACGGACATCCCTGGAGGCCTCACATAGATGGGCAAATGTGTTTTCTTGGACATCAAAAAGAAAAAAAGCCAGCAAATATTGGTTAAAAAAGGACAATAGGGTGAAAACGGAGGCCATAAATAGTAATCAAAGCCCATTAAAAAAAGAGTTTCTCGCTGGGTGCGGTGGCTCACGCCTATAATCCCAGCACTTTGGGAGGCCAAGGCGGTTGGATCACCTGAGGTCAGGAGTTCGAGACCAGCTTGGCCAACATGGTGGAGCCCCATCTCTACTAAAAATACCGAAAATTAGCCGAGCATGGTGGTGGGCGCTTGTAATCCCAGCTACTCGGGAGGCTGAGACAGGCGAATTGCTTGAACCCGAGAGGCAGAGGTTGCAGTGAGCCGAGATCGCGCCACGGCACTCCAGTCTGGGCAACAAGAGTAAAACTCCGCCAAAAAAAGAGTTTCTCCCGGTTGGGTGTGGTGGCTCACACCTGTAATGCTACCACTTTGGGAGGCCACGGCTATAAGACCACTTGAGCTCAGTTGGAGTCCGGCCTGAGAAACACAGCAAGACCCCGTTCCTACTAGACACACAAAAAATTAGCTGGATGTGGTGGTGTGCACCTGCAGTCTCAGCCACTGGGGAGGCTGAGGCAGAAGGATTGTTCAAGCCCAGGAGGCAGAGGGTGCAATGATTTATGGTCACGGCCCTGCACTCCAGGCTGGGCTACAGCATGAGAGCTTGTCTCAGAAAAAACAATAACAAAAAAGTTCTTCTTTATTTTTTTAATGTGTTAAAAGCTATTTTTAAAATACAGATTTGAGATTTTTTTAAAAATGCTTTGTGCTGATTTTGAAGTGGAATGACTTATATGGATAGTGGGTTCTATGGGCTGAACTGTATCCCCCTCCAAATTCACAGGTCGAGTGAGTCCTGACCCCCAGGGGATCAGGACTGTGACTGTGTTTGAAGACAAGGTCTTTAAAGAGGTGATTAAAGTGAAATGAGGTCACTAGGGTGGGCCCTGCTCCAAAGGACAATAGTCCTTATGAGAAGAGGAGGTGAGGACACACACACACACCGAAGACGACCCTGTGCGGACAGGGGGAGGAGACGGCGTCTCCAAGCCCAGGAGCAAGGCCTCGCCAGCCCTGCCCACGCCTGGATCTCAGACCCCCAGCCTCCTGATCATAGTACTTGACTATGGTAGCCTTAGCAGACTAAAACAGTGGGTATGAGAGAAAGCTGCCCATTAGCGTTTAAAAACTGCGAGTGAAACATGTTCTCCCCACTCTCTGGAGGGAGGCCAGCCAAGGTCAGCTCGCACCCCTCAGTGCTCCGGATGAGGCGGGAACAGGCCTAACACGCTTTTGCTGCCTCTGGGGAGAAGCTGGGTGACTCATCCCCTGGCGGCGGCTTGCATCCCAGCAGGCACGTCCTGCTCATGCTGATCCCAGCGCTGACTCACAGCCTCGCTCTGTGGGGGCTGGAGAGCAGGCGTCCGGGCGGAAAGAGAAGCACAGGCGTCCTTGAAAACGAGCATCACGCCCCCAGCCTGGCTGTGCTTCCACAGGGCCCTGGCCCTGCCAAGGAGCACAGGGATATTTCCCTGCAGTTTTGCCCCAGGGATAGAGCAGCACCCTGACCGGTACGCTTTGATCCATTCTGGAGACAGATAATGGTCTCCCCAAAAATGGCACAGCGCAGACCTCCTGAGACTAACTTCACAGGAATACAGGAAATGATCAGGGCTCTCAGGAGAGCCGCTTGATGAGTCACTTCTTTCTAATTCATGGGTATGCCAGAGAACAAAAGAGCACGTCCTGAACAGCTCCTGACAGAGAGGATTTCCACAGAAGGCTCATTCCTAGGCTTCATATAACACACTCCAAGGTGGGCCAGACGTGGTGGTGCAGGCCTGTAATTCCAGCACTTAGGGAGGCCGAGGTGGGAGGATCGCTTGAGCCCAGTTCAAGACCAGCCTGGGCAACATGGCGAAACCACCTTTGCAAAAATCGTAACTGAGGCAATGATGACAGTGAAAGAGGTTGGACCTGACCGACTCCATGTTGCTTGTAACCCTTAAGCTGTCCTTGTTCATTCCTGGGCATAGGCCGAACTCACTTTAGGAGGAAATTCAGTTCATGGTTTGACTCTGAAACAAAACTGGTAACAGCCTTTTCCTGAAAACCCTCCTCCTTGCCTGGGGCCAGTCTGCCTTTATAGAACTAACAAATTAGCTACACGATGAGAAATCATGCTTTAGTGCTGGGCGTGGTAGGCCTGTAATCTAGCACTTTGGGAGGCCGAGGCGGATGGCTTGCCTGAGGTCAGGAGCTCGAAACCAGCCTGACCAGTATGGTTTCTAATAAAAATACAAAAATTAGCTGGGCGTGATGGCGTACGCCTGTAGTCCCAGTTACTTGGGAGGCTAAGGCAGGAGAATTGTTTGAACCCAGGAGGCGGAGGATGTAGTGAGCTGAGATCACGTCACTGCACTCCAGTGTGGGCGACAGAGCGACACTCTATTTCAAAAAAAAAAAGGAAAAGAAAAGAAAGAAGGAAAGAAATTACGGTTTAGGGGTCATGCAGCCTCTGGCTCCAAGAGTCTGAACCCCCCCAAATTGCTCCTGGGGATAACGTCACTATTGTAAAACCTAAGTCCAGTGCTTGAGATATTTTGCAGCCCCTGCACTGGATGGATATGCTGACCCCACCAGTTCTGCCATCCCACCCAGGAACAGAAAACAGCAAGAAAACCTCACTTCAACCCCCTGTGACTCCATCTCCAACCTGACCAATCAGCACTCTCCACTTCCCAAGCCCCTACCCACCAAATTATCTTTAAAAACTCTGGTCCCTGAATGCCTGGGGAGGCTGATTTGAGTAATAATGAAACTCCTGTGTCCGGCACAGCTGGCTCTGCGGGAATTACTCTTTCTCCATTGCAATTCCTCTGTCTTGATAAATCAGCTCTGTCTAGGCAGGGGGCAAGGTAATGGGTTAGGGGTCATGCAACCAGAGGCCACGAGATTCCAAACCTCTTTGGGGGATAGCATCACTATCGTAAAACCCAAGGTTGAAGTTGAGGTACGTGGTAAACTCTGCATTCACACGAAGCAGCCAGCACTGCCCAGACTGGTAATGTGGCTTAGGCAGCTCCTCCATCCCACAGAGGAACAGAAGACAGCAAGAAGAACCCCCTTCCATCCTCTGATTCCATCTCTAACCAGCCAATCAGCATTCCCTACTCCCGGGTCTCCTACCGGCCAAATTATACTTTAAAAGCCCAGTGTCCAAATTTTTGGGGAGACTGCTCTGAGTAATAAAACTCCAGTCTTGCTTAGGTGCAGTGGCTCATGTAATC